GAGACTTCTCCCGCACTGGGGTAGGAGCACCTGAGTATCTAAACCCAATGCAAAGATCTCTCACAACCCAGAAGAGGATGCAAGAGAAGAGAAGAGGCAGATTCTGCCTGAGGCCCCGCCCACCCCCAGGCTGCGGGGCGGGGGTGGGAGCTGGACTTTGACTCCCTCAGCCAAGAGGTCGGCAAACTCCCCACGCCTTTGGCCCACCACCTTCCGGTCGCTGGCGCTCGCGCCCAGCGCAGGCTCAGAGCGTGCGAGGCAGCGCCCTTCACAGCCCCCGCCCCTCTCCGGGGACTGCGTTGGACCAGGGAGGTGGGCACTGAGAGTGCGCAGATCTCCTGCAGCAACAGGCTCACAAAGTTGGGCGGAGTTGCGCGCGCGCCCCAGGACCCGAACCACTGACGAAAATCAGGGACCGAGAGAAGAGCAGGAGGGGGAGAGGCGACCAGACAGGCACTGCAGTCGGTGATGTCGCGTGGGTGGATAGAGGGCTGGGACCGAATGCCAGATGGGGCGGGGTGCCTGGACCCGATGGGGCCCCCTCCTGCCTGCAGCTGCCCTAGCTCCACCCGATAGGGGGTCTCGGGACCCCGTTTAGCTTCCTCCGACTCCCGAATAAAGGCGGCGTGCTCGGGGCCTGACACTCCTGACCGCGGGCCGATGTAGGCAGCCGGCGTTGTCCACATGTCCTCTGCCTCTCCAGTCCCCAGGCCAGTGGCCCGGAGACCAAAAAGTCCTTGAAATATGAAACGGGGTCCACGGCGCATCCGAGCTCCTGGGCGCAGACTGGACATTTCTCTGGACGGCCGAGAATGAGGACGCGCGCTGGGCTCGCGGCCCAGATCCAGCCTCGGAGGCCGGGCGAACTCCGGCTGGGGGGTCTCAAGACGGGTGGGGATCTGGATCGGGATCCAGAACCTGCTCCCTGTCCAGCCGTGGGTGCCTGCGCAGGGGAGGGTTCAGGCTCGGTGGAGGACTCTGGAGCGGGACTGACCGCGGGCGGGGGTGCACGGATGACTGCTGGGGGTTCCCCGGGCCCCTCCTGGTCCCCGGCGCATCCCTGCCCCGGCCTCCCTTCGGGTGCATCTTGAGTCCTCAGTCCACTGAGGTAGCCCAGACTTTATAACCTGCGCCCGGCGGGTCGCCCGCCGGGCCGGACCACGCGCAGGAGTGGGCAGCGGAGGAGCAACGAGTGGTGACAGGAACCGAGGACTGCGCAGGGGCGAGTTAATGGAGGAACAGAGTGCAAAAATAAGAGAACAGCAAGAAGAGTCGAGTGGAGGTTCTAGCTGGTTCCGTCGGCTTGGTTCCGAATGTAGAGCTCTCCCCCCGCGCCCCCCCCCACACATACTCTCCACCTCCAGAGAATGGTTCTGCCCAAAGCCGCTGCTTCTCTGGGACTTGGAGGTCCCTAACTGGGGGCATCCTTCCCCCGCGCCGCCGCCCAGCTCCCGCCCGGGTTTCCGCTGCCTTCCCTGGAGTTGGCCTGGGAGTTAGGGCAGCATTACGGCTTTCCCTGGTGGCTGGGAGATCAACCTAAACTCCAAAACAGTCTCCACGCGATGCCCAGTCTGGCGCGCCACACGCTGAGCTCACACCCATTGCTCCAATCACTCGACAGCCCTCTTTCTTACTTGTCATATTGCCTTTCCTCGAGCTTTCCCTCCAGCCTGCTTTCACTTTGCCCACCTCCTTCCACCCTGGCAAACGCCTGTTCTTCCCAGAGACCCCGCTTAGACGTCTCTCCATGAAGACTCCATCCCCCACGGCCCCAGGGCAGTGGTGCAGCATGGGCCAGATACCTCTAAGCGTCGCCGTAAGTCCTGAATGAACTGTGGGTGCCAGTGGCCATTTCTGCGCCTTTGGACTGGAGCAAACCACAAGCCAAAAGAGATGGCTGTGGCACTGATTCTTTTAAAGCCTTGAGATCATTCTCGATGCCCCAATTCCCTTCTCTTCAATATCCAATCAGTCACCAAATATTTGGGAGGTGAATTAAGTCCTGCTTAATTCACCTCCCAAATATTTTCCCCAACGTGCAGCCTCCTGCCCTTTTGATGTTGAGGCCTCATCCTCTCCTATTGTGATACTCTCATCCCCGCACCCTCCAGCCACAGGAATCCATCTCTAGTCCATCCTTCTCACTCAAACTCCTATCTAGCGTAAGAAATTCCAGGAGCCCCTTCTCCACAGCCACCACTCCAAACCTGAGCCCAGGACAGGGGCCCAAGATGTGCTTCTGGGACAGAGGCTTCTAATGCTGACAGTGTGCTTTGGCGGGGGCCAAGTGTCCATGAAAGAGCATGGAACGAGAAGCACAACCCAAGAAGTTGGATCAGAGTACCCTGCCCACCAGCTCTCCCGTGGAGAAGCATTGTGATAAGAATGTTTCCTTCTATCTGGGTTCATTCATTCATCTGACAAACATTGATTACCTACTATGTATATACCAGGTACTGTGCTAGACTCCAGGCTAGAGCAGGGAACAAGAGAAACTAGATGCCTACTCTCTGAAGTTTAGAATCTAGAAAGGGAGGAAGATAAACAAGAAAGCAAGAAAGATAATTACAAAGTGTGTTGAGTTCTCAGAAACAGACAGGGAGCTATGATTGAGAAAAATGGAAAGTGCCTATCTAACGGGATGGTCTACGTGAGCAGGACAGCAGAAATCATTAATTGCATAGTATTTTGCACCTCAGTCCCCACCCCCCAAAT